GGAAAGAGCGTTAGAAAATCAAAGATCACTATGCTGATAGGATTACTATGCCTTTGGTTTAATTTCCACATTTGATAGATCTGTAGAAGGGAATCCTTATCTATTAAGACCTTCTCGAATTTTAGAGACATAGGAGTGAAACAGATAACTTCTATTTGCCAAGAGCACATAACAATTTTCTGCGGACAAAGAACTTTCTTTCCTCCTTTCTCTTTAAAACCAAGTCTATCTGGTAAGGAGTTTTTCATTCTAGCCTTGACCCTTTGCCAGGGCATGTCATTAAAATGACAAAGTCCAAAAGGCAACATTTTATTTCAAAACAGGTAGCTTCTACTGATTATCACATACTCTTTAATGACACTTTCCTGTGTTCTTAAATGTACAGGAAACCTCCCTTTTCTAGGACCTTACCACAAATAATCATTACTTTCTATGCTTTGTCTCTCCTCTGCTTTTAAAGTAAGCTTGTTATTATCAACAATGGTGATTTTTTTTCCCTTCTTGTCCACTTTATTTTGGTAAGCAATTCAGTAGTTGAATTATCTGCAACGAATTCTACCTTATGGTAGCGGGCCACCAGTTTCCCCTCAGAATCAAACACCACATCAGTGTTGTATTGGTAACGACCATCAGGGGGACAGTGAGGGTCACTGGCATTGCATGGCTTCTTGTCCCCAATGTTTGCCACGACGTAGATGGTGTTGTCCTTGGCCAGACAGCTGAGCCTTTCTTGCACTGGGGTGTGGCCAAATCTGATATGTGTTCATTGGAAGAGGAAAAAAAATCAAAAAGCGTTTAATTAAATTCAGAAGGATAGTTGCCAGAACTTACGTGATATACACAAAAATAAATTCTAAATAGCATAGATAGAAGGGAAGGATTAAAACAAGAATAGACTTCAGAGGAAGTCCATGCTTGTGGGAATTTGGTTCTAGGAAACTATTCTAGGATAAGACTCCAGGCCATGTATATTCTTATGGCATTTATCATCATCTATAATCATATATTCATTTATGTGCTCATATTGTATGTCACATCTTATAGATATATGGGGGCAAAGACACACGTCTCCTGTTCACAGAACACATGTCTGAAAGAAAAGAGATATTAAAAAATATTTTGAATGAAAGAACAACATTTTGGAAGTAGGATGATTGTGGAAAGATGGCAGAGTAGGAAGCGCCAGGAATCCATCTCTCTACCTAGATAAAACTTGCCCTATAGGGCTTCCCTGGTGGCGCAGTGGTTGAGAGTCCGCCTGCCGATGCAGAGGACATGGGTTTGCGCCCCGGTCCGGGAAGATCCCACATGCCGCGGAGTGGCTGGGCCCGTGAGCCATGGCCGCTGAGCCTGCACGTCCGGAGCCTGTGCTCCGCAACGGGAGAGGCCACAACAGTGAGAGGCCCGCGTACTGCAAAAAAAACAAAACAAAAAACAAAAAAACACTTGCCCTACAAGAATCTAGCTGACATAATTATTTTGGAAATCTGGAGTCTATTAAAAGACATGAAACTTACAGGGAAGTGCTTGGAAGATAAATTGCAGTCAGGTTGAGTCAATTTAAGCTCTTAGCTCAGCAGGGCCTATCCATGCCCCAGCCCCTGCAACCCACCCCATTGCAGGCAGCCATGCAGGTGTTCTTGGAGCAACTCGCTGGCAGTTTGTAGGAGCAGGGTGGGCCATAAGGACCCTGTCTTCCAGATATCAAGGGTCTGGTTCTGATCACTGCTAACTGCTCTGTTCATGGAGGTACACACACAGAGACAGGCTATTATTACATATACTGTTGCAAGTACTTCCCCCACTGGCTGAAATGATTTCTAGGGGACTTAAAGCACCAGTACCTTCTTTTTTACCCCTTTTTGGAGCCAGACATTAAAGGACTAGGACATGGAAAAGCAACAACTATACAGAATTCAGAAAATCACTGCATATGCCCAGGGAAAGTCATAGACTAAGAAAAGACCTGAGAAGACTTTAAGCTTACTCCCAGCATGGAGACAGCCTACAACAATCAAAACAAACAAACAAAAGACAAAATCCTGGAAAAGGGGGAGAAGTTGATTTCCAGAGTTATCACATTATAAGATTCAGATGCCCACTTATCAAGAAAAAATCGTACGGCATACAAACAGGAAAATATGACCCATTCAAAGGGAAAAAATAAACCAATAAAAACTATCCTGGAGAAAGACCATATGGCATACCTACTGGACAAAGACTTTAAGACAACTGTCTTAATGGTGTTCAAAGAACTAAAGAAAGACATGGAGAAAGTCAAGATACTGATGTATGAACAAAATGGAAAAATATCAATAAAGAGATAGAAAGCCCGCCCCCCCCCCCAAATTCTGGGGCTGAAAATGACAGTAACTGAAACAGAAAATTTACAAAAGAGATTCAAAGACAGACTCAAACAGGCAATGATCTCTAAAAAGGATGAACTCAAAGAGACCCATATTAAGACACATTATAATCAAACTTTCAAAAGACAAAGACAAAATCATAATTTTGAAAGCAGCAAGAGAGAAGTGATTTATAATGTACAAGGGATCTCCAATAAGATTATCAGCAGTTTTTAATCAGACAATTTGGAGGCCAGGAAGCAATGGGCTGATATATTTAAAGTATTGAAAGAATAATACAGTTACTAAAAACCCTGTCTCTGGCAAAACCATCCTTCAAAAGTGAGGGAGAAATTAATATATTTTATGTTAATATTAGACCAGATAGACTTTAAATCATAAAAGGTTATGAGAAACAAAGGACATTATATATTAATATCCAGAATACAAAAGGAACTCTTAAAAATCAACAACAGCAACACAAACCGGATTCAAAAATGGGCAAAAGACACAAAATAAAATAAATTAATTAATTTAAAAAAAAAAAGGGACTTCTCTGGTAGTCCAGTGGTAAAGAATCTGCCTTTCAATGCAGGGGATGCAGGATCAATCCCTGGTTACCGCAACTAAGACCCAACGCAGCCAAAAAAATTAAATAAATAGGCAAAAGACTTGAACAAAATTTTCTCCAAAGAAGATACACAAATGGCCAATAAGCACATGAAAATGCTCAACTTCATTGATTATAGAGAAATGCTAATCAAAGCCATGACGAGATACCTCAAACTCATTAAGATAGCAACTATTAAAAAAAAAATAGAAGACCAACTGCTGGTGAGGATTTGAAGAAACTGGAACACTTGAGCACTGTTGATGAGAATGTAAATGGTGCAGCCACTGTGGAAACCAGTCTAATAGTTCCTCAAAAAATTAAAAATAGAACTACCATATGATCCAGCAATTACATGTTTGTGTATATATCCAAAAAGTTGAAAGCAGGGTCTCAAAGACATGTTTGTACACTCAGGTTTATAGCAGCATTATTCACAATAGTTAAAAGGTAGAAGAAACCCAAATATCCATCAATGGATAAATGGACAAGCAAAATGTTGTACTATATACATAAAATAGAGTATTATTCACACTCATATTCATACATTCCTTAAAAGGAAAGGAAGTTATAAACATGCTACATTGTAGATGAACCTTAAGAGCATTATGCTAAGTGAAATAAGCCAATCACAAAAAGATAAATAAGGTACAATTCCACTTATATCTAGAGTGGTTAATTATAGAGAAAGAAAGTTGAATGATGGTTTCCAAGGGCTGAAGGGAGGGGGAAGTCAGGAGTTATTGTGTTTTTTCCCCAGATGCATTGAGATAGAAGTGGTATATAACACTGTTTAAGTTTAAGATGTAAAATGTGATGATTTGATACATGTATATATTGATAAGTGCTTACCACAATGTGATTATCCTTCATCTCACAGAATTACAATTTTATTGCTGTTATGGTGAGAACATTTAAAATCTACTCCCAAAGCAACTTTCAAATACACAATACAGTATTGTTAACTATAGTCACCATGCTGTACATTAGATCTGAGAACTTACTGTAAGAAAATTTGGCGTCATCTGCTGGCAATATAAGCAAAACCATAGCAATCATACACAAAATATATCATTGAAAAAGACCCACAAGGATAGGAAACTGCATCTTAAAAAATTATTATCTCACTGCATTTATATAAAAAATGACCATTTGAGGTGGCTTCCGGGAAGATGGCGGAAGAGCAAGACGTGGAGATCACCTTCCTCCCCGCAGCTACACCAGAAATACATCTACACGTGGAACAACTCCTACAGAACACCTACTGAATGCTGGCAGTAGACCTCAGACCTCCCAAAAGTCAAGAAACCCCCCACATACCTGGGTAGGGCAAAAGAGAAAAGAAAAAAACAGAGACAAAAGGATAGGGACGGGACCCGCACCAGTGGGAGGGAACTGTGGAGGAGGAAAGGTTTCCACACACCAGAGGCCCCTTCGTGGGAGGAGACTGCGGGTGGCGGAGGGGGGAAGCTTCGGAGCCGCGGAGGAGAACACAGCAACAGCGGTACGGGGCGCAAAGCGGAGAGATTCCCGCACAGAGGATCGGTGCCGACCGGCACTCACCAGCCCGAGAGGCTTGTCTGCTCACCCGCCGGGGCGGGCGGGGCTGGGAGCTGAGCCTCGGCCTTCGGTCGGAGCGCAGGGAGAGGACTGGCGGCGTGAACACAGCCTGAAGGGGTTGGTGCGCCACGGCTGGCCGGGAGGGAGTCCGGGGAAAAGTGTGGGCCTGCAAAAGAGGCAGGAGACTTTTTCTTCCCTCTTTGTTCCCTGGTGAGCGAGGAGAGGGGATTAAGAGGGTTGCTTAAAGGAGCTCCAGAGACGGGCACGAGCCGCGGCTGGGGGCGCGGACCCCAGAGACGGGCATGAGACGCTAAGGCTGCTGCTTCCGCCACCAAGGGGCCTGTGTGCGAGCACAGGTCACTATCCACACCCCCCTTCCGGGGAGCCTGTGCAGCCCGCCACTGCGAGGGCCCCGGGATCCAGGGACAACTCCCCCGGGAGAACACACGGCACGCCTCAGGCTGATGCAACGTCACGCCGGCCTCCGCCGCCGCAGGCCCGCCCCGCACTCCATGCCCCCCCCTACCCCCCCACCCT